TTATTAAAATTTCGGTACCACACCTCCTGGGGGCGTGGTTCTTGGCAGCCAAACAAAAGCAATTTGATATGGCATGCGACATAAATCTCTCTCAAACAAACAAGACGATTTGGGTAGCAATTTTAAAATTTCCAAGCAACAAAACCCGTGGGTGTTGTCTCGAGGAGTTCCTTAACTGACCTCGTAGGTCAAACGGTCCTGGCGTCACGGTCATGTTCCCTACGGTCAGATGTGTCGAAATTTTTGTTTTGACCCTATTACAAGTTATTTTGGGCGGAAATGTCAAAAATCACTACAGTTTTGGCCCACGATGACTGTGTGACTGTGCGGGCAAGGTCAAAGGTCAAAACCTTCGATTAACCCTCAAAATAGTTAAAAATATAACTGCTAAAATTTAAAACTCTAACGTTTAAAACTAACACCTTCAACTTGAAAGCTTCAGCAATCAAAACATTAAAGCGTTTACGACATGCTCGTGGGTGTAGCACTTGGATTCACCTCTTGGTTACATGCGTTTGTAATGGTTTATCTTTAAAAGCCTAACACGACGAATTCCATGGAATATTTAAGCTTCTATAACACACCCAAAGCGGATGTGGGATTTGGCGAACAATCAAAGTTTTTGGTGTTATGGGATTACATAAATCGTAATTTATGGTAAGAGTAATTTGGTGTGGTCTCCTTGAACCACACCCAGGAAGTGTGGTTCCGAAATTACAGCTATACCGTCGACATCGCCTCGTTTGACTGAGAAAGATGATATTCTGCATGCTATACTACTATAAATTTTGTCCAGTTGCTAGGAACCACACCCCCTGGGGGTGGATCCGAAATTGTAGTTATGATATCGAAATCCAATTGCCCCGGTGACAAAAATTATATGTCGCATGCTGAGTTACGAATAATTTGGTGTGGTCAGCAGGTACCACACCCCCCGGGGGTGGTTACGAAATTCTAGTAAATTTGTCGAAATGGCCGGTCTGGCTGCGGAGAGTGATATGTCACAAGCTATATAGCAAAAAATTTTGTCGCTTGGAACCACACCCACTGGTGGTGTGGTTCCGAAAGTTTAGTTATTATATTTAAATCCCCTTGCCTAGCTGAGAAAAATGATATGTCGCATGGCATATTCCCAAAAACCTTATCTTGGCACCAAGAACCACACCCGCATGGGGGTGGTACCGAAATGGTAGATATTCTGTCGAAATCCACTTGTCTCGCTGAGAAAAATGATATGTCACATGCTATGTTCCGAATAATTGGGTTTGGTGGCCGATAGCCACACCCCTTGGGGGTGTGGTTGCACAATTCAGTTATACAGTTTACATCACCTCGTTTGTCTGAGGAATTTGACATGTCGCATGTCATATTAAAAAAGACCCTTATCTAGGTGCCAAGAACCACACCCCCTGGGAACGGGTAGATAACCAATTTTTATTGTCAAAGGTGACCCTGCAGCTTCCCTTTAATAAACACATCAAACCAGATTTTTTCCTTTTGAAATATGGTTGTAGTGTTTGATTACGTTTAACACGTTTTTTGACTTTGTGACCTGAATTTCCAGGGGGTGTGGCCTTATTTAAATAATATGGAAATACATATTTCGCGCAAGGGGGCGGTGTTTCTAAGACAAGCGGAATTTCCAAAATCGGTCCACAAGTAAACAAAATCGCAAGGAACCACACCCACAAGGGGTGTGGTTTTAGACTTGTGTTATTCAGTCGTGATCCCCTCGAGGCACTGAAGAAATTGATATATCATTTGTCATACGTTGCTTTGAGTATTCCCAAAGCGCAAAGAACCACACCCCCGGAGGGTGTGGTTTTGGATTTGACTTATGCTGTCGGGATCCCGTCGACGCGCTAAGAAAAATTATATGTCCCATGTGATACGTTGGTTGAATATTTCCAAGGCCGCCGAGAACCACTCCCACATGGGGTGTGATTTTAGACTTGTGTTGTGCAGTCGTGATCCCCTCGACGCACTGAGGAAATTGATATATCACAGGTCATACTCTGCTTGAACATCCCCTAAGCGCCGAGGACCGCACCCTCATTGGGTGGGGTTTGGGATTTGGCTTACGCGGTTGTGATCAACTCGAGGCACTGAGATAAATGATGTATCATTTGTCATACGTTGCTTTGAGTATTCCCAAAGCGCAAAGAACCACACCCACGGTGGGTGTGGTTTTGAATTTGACTTATGCCGTCGGGATCCCCTCGACGCGCTGAGAAAAATTATGTGTCGCATGCCAAACATTGTTCGAGTAATGACAAAAGCGCTGATAGCCACACCCCCTACATCTTCATGGGGTATACGACAAGGTCATGGTGTTTAGGGGATCGCAGATATAGTGTGCTTAAGGTCGATGGTGACTTTAGTAAATCAGTATTGGAAATGATTTTAGTCTAGTTTTTCGATTTCTAACCACCCCCAAATGACCCCTAATCAGGGGGTGTGACCAACTGTCGTTCCCCTTGATGACCTGAGTTTTTGAAATGATCCCACATAGATTTCAACACTAATTCGGTTGTACTATTTTAAAATACGCTGGCGAAAATTTACACGTTTTCAGATCTTATAACCTTAATTTCATGTGGGTGTGGTCGAATTTCAAAAATCTGGAAATGTTTATTTCGCCCAAGGGTCTACCGTTTTCAAAACAGTCGGAATTTTGAAATTCGACCCAAGATTGACAAAGTTATACATTTTTGAAATTTCAACATTTTATTCCTGAAGTTATGTACCAACAGCCCAGGTATGGCCACTTAACCTTTCAGCAAGAATTTCGCATCATTTTAATTCACAAACCATAGCAGAATTGTACTAAAATTTCGCATCCTTTAAATACACAAACCATAGCACAGTGGACCAAATCATCCACAAGTATGCGCTATAGATGAATCCAACGAATAAGTAGATACTCCAGCTGGCTTGATAGGCCAGCGGCAACAGGCCATTGAGAAAGGGTGGTGTCAGTGGAAACATGAAGTAAAACCAGGCCGTGCAAAAGAGGGCGAGAAATAAGCAAATTGTCGAAAAATGCGTGACACGAATGAAGTTCTGATTCCATGATGCGGAGTCCAGATCGATAAAGGGGTACCATTTCCCTGTATAGCAAGAAATTAATATAAACGCAGAACGTGAAATTACTGGCGTTAAGAATATATTACAATTTCTGAAGTTTTTGGCTCTCCTGTCATAGAACTAATTTTTTGGTTCGAGCAGTGTTGCAAGTGGATTAAACCACTTTTTACCGGACAGTGGGAAAAAGTGGGAAAAAGACACTTTTTCCCGCCCACCAAAATCAGTGCGAAATGGAAAAAAGTGAAAAAAATGTAGTTCTTATGCAGATTACAATAGATGGCGCCTCTGCATACCGTTAGGTGGCGCTCCATTTTCCCCACTTCCCAGTGGAAAAAACTAGGTGGTAAAATACATTTTTTCCCCTTGTACTGGGAAAAATTGTTTTGGACGGGAAATATGCAACACTGGGTTCGAGTCGTAAATGTGTCACCATCATGGTAATATTCCTTACTTGGCGGTTGCGCTTATTACTATCGTGGTTTATGTAGATATGATAGCAAAGTATCTCCATGGAGAGATAGATTTTCACAGTGTGGTAATACTTTGTTACCAAAATGTGTATCTTGTTAAATGTTTCACTTACGCCCGTAATCTTGCACCACGTCGAGACATGAGTTGACCAGGAGAGCGAAATCTTCTCCGTAGAATGCATACTGGATTCGAAGTACGTAGTGAATACTGATCGCAAATAAGATTGCTAGACTAAAATTGGAATTGGCAACGTTATCAGTATAATACTTAAGGTGGATGGTACGGACTATAAGATACGCCAAAATATCGGTCTTAAATCGTAACCAGAACCAGCAATACAAATCAGATCGGGCCGAAATGAATAAGCGACACTTTTCCTTATCCCAGCAAAACGGAGTGGCGCCAGAATATTGGCAAATTTTGACGATGTAGTGCAGTAACTGGAGAGATTTGTCGTTCAACATTTTTTTTATTTCATGGCTTCTGGATCAAGATGTAGAAATTTATTTATATGTCGGAGTTAGGATTTCGAACAACGTTGACTAGTCTCCAATTTGTATTCTGCAATTATTTTGCATTTTTATTACAGACAATTTTCAGCGAATTTACTCAAACGATTTTGGCCTTGGATGACAAGTAAATATGTAATAATTTACTGCGATTTTCGAATTTACCAATAATTTGGTATATTTCCAATTCATAATTGTTTCTGAAATATTTTTGTTGCACAACTTTTTCCATATCTGTTTAATTCTATGATTTTTGTTTACCTTAAATCGTGTTGCAGAAAAGTGGTGCATAATTAGTTAATATGTTCGCTATGATTTATTTAATGAAATGTAATTACACAAATTTGACTGTACTATTTCTCTTCTACCGATAATGCGTGCTTTGGCAAAGCTGGCCACCCATGCAAATAAGTATTTAATGTATATGAACTCCATCGTAATTGCCTGCAAACATTGACAATACGCTAAGTACGCTCCGACTTGGCAAACGAATATAGCCAATTCGACAAAGTATGTAATTTATTGCATTCTTTTGCGATAGAACCACTTATGTACATAGATGCGAGAAAAAAATTACGACTCAAATTTGTGATTGTGGAGTGTTTGCAAATTACTTTGCAATTTGAGGTTATTTGCGAAGTGAAGATTGCAAAAATGCATCGCCACGGTGAAACGCTCCAGATTTGCACTCCACAGTTTGCAATAATTGAAAAGTACGGATTGCAAAGTGGAAACTCCGGACTGGTGATACGATCCCCTGAACTTGCAAACGATCGGAATTACAAATTCTCGTGCGATTTTAAATCACACACCTTGTCCACCTCTCTCTGAAGAGAGTAACTTCAGAAAACATAAATGCAGTTATGGATGAGATTTGTTGATGCCAGTTTGTGCATGGCATCAATTATTCACCAAAAGCTACAATAATCTCACCTCATCTCTCGCCCGACGTGGTCATTAATGATAACCATGAAGGGTCTCCTGGTCACCGTCCTTTTCAACGCCCTCGCCAAACCGATGCATTTCCACACTTCTTTATTATCAGAAGCATAACTCACCCACCACTCCATACCATTGTAACCCCGCACGGCTAAAACTAAGTATTCTGAAAATGTCAATATTTTCAGAATTGGTAAAATTTTGAGGATGTTGGAATATGGAAATTAGAGCTTTATACGAAGTGCAAACTTACAGTCTGTCCCATCGAATCTGAAATTCAATTTTTCATTAGTTGGGAAGATCTTCATACATTGCACGTAAAAATTTGCAGGCACAATTAAATATGTACCATAAAAAATAATTAAAACAAGAACAATCCATACCTGTTTATGTTCATGACGAATAGTGAGATGGTTTGGTTGGTTTATTTTTTAGTGTGTATTATTTTTATATGTATGTGATGATTAGTTTTGTGGGAAATCAGTAGATTCGGACACAAGGTTAATGTAAAAACAATCTAAAAATACTTATTTATTTACACTATTGTAGAGTTGATATACACTCATTATTTAATGTGTAGTATGTATTTAAATGTTAGGGGTAACTTGACCAAATATTTGATTTATTTTTGTCTCAGTCTATTACTTGAGGCAATTTGAGACTTTGTAATGCAAGCTGGTGCAAAACAGCTTGCATGTAATAATTATAGACACAGTTGTGGTGGCGGTTGGAGTCGAGGCTGCCCTTATATCCTCGGTCGGACGCAGGGAATCCGCCTTTTCATAATTTGCATCATGTTATTTTCTCATAAGTAAAACTCATTGTGTTCTGAACAATGGGTTTTCTATAAATAAATACAGATCTACATACATTACGTTAAATACACACAACTTACCTACACACATTACATTACATTACACATTACATATTACGTACAAGAAGTGCATGGAAAACAAGGAGTTTTACATTCACTTGCCTGGAATTTTACTATTCCAGGTACATAATTTACATGCATGCATTTGCATACGAGCGAGAGGCGAGCAGGTGACTTGTGATGTCCAGTCTATCATTCGTTCTATACACATGCATAACTTGCATTCATTCATTTCACTTTTAATGGAGATTATTGGATGCAAGTTACTGTTAGTTGACATACATTTAGCATGCATACAGACATACAGATATGCATCATTACTGCTATATTTAACATGGAAAGTCCAACTTAAATTATTTAAGCTATTTAGGTAGCATTGCAATATGAATGCACATACATGTTTCTAAACGATACCCAATTTGGGATCCTTAGCAATATAATAATGATAAAAAAATGATACAATGTCTCGAGGAGTATGAAGGAAACTTAATTTTGTAGAATCAGGTTATTTTATAAGATAACATAAAACATGCACACATTTGACCAAAATGATATGCACGGCTGCATTTCACCCACTACAATCTCCAGTAAACTTGGACATTGGACCAGTTTTGGGCAAGATTTCCAGACAAGTATTAAAGAAGAAGAATAATCTATCCGTCGGGAAAATACGTCGACTTATACATACCAATGATATTAGTTTGTACCGGTATGTGTATATCAGCATTATATTATGCAACTATTTATGTGAGCAAGCAAATGCACTGCAAATAATCTCACAATAAAACATTACATTGTGGGACAATTATATATAAAAGATATAACTCTACCGTTATGGCAATGATAAGTTATACAGTCTGATAGTAACCCAGCAACACATTATTACCAACCAGTAAAATATTAATGTCACATTGAAAAAAATATTGGTTACCGTTTGGTGTCAATATTAATACAATGCGATGGAAAATATAACTCCGCGGAGGAGGAGTAATATATACACATTGCCCGGTTTTGAATTAATAAAGGATTTTTTGAAGGGCAAATTTATTACCGAGAAACCATGACCTATATGACTTTACCAGATTATTAAGAGTGCATGACATTGATAAGTGTGCCTATACAGTTATGTAGTTTGTTATTGTTAAAAAGTGATTTTTACTAAGATTTAGGATAATTACTTGTTTTATTTGGTCGGTGGGTAAAACATGTAAAAGTCATCACAAGGTTACGAAAGTACTTGATGAAATTGAATTTAATTAATGAAATTAATTTCATAATGAAAATATCTACTAATTATGTAATAAATAATGTCTGCACTCTAAGAAACTGGGTGATAGGCGTTATCATATTCATCACCATATGACTCTACCGCCTCTGGTGATAGGCATCGTCACCTTTTTGGTGACGTTATATCACCACTAGGTGATAGACTACCACCGTTTGGTAATAGTCTATCACCTAGTGGTGATATAACGTCACCAAAAAGGTGACGATGCCTATCACCAGATGCGGTAGAGTCATATGGTGATGAATATGATAACGCCTATCACCCAGTTTCTTAGAGTGTGAGCCAACATCCTGCCCAGTGTTTTGGGTACTTTTGACAAGATGAATCCCCACGAACCAATTTATATTCATACAAATTCTCTTAAAATTAAAATAAACTTTTATTACACACTCAGAATAATTCGGTGATACTATGTCGTCCCACCGCGGTGGTTACTATTTTGTCACTAAAGAGTGACAATAAATTCTCCGAAAATCAAATTTGCTACCATGATGGCAAGGTAACAATGTTTTATAGGATAGTGATAAATTTAAATTTCGCAAAATAATTTGTTACTCTCTGTTCACAAAATCTTAACCACCGCGGTAGAGCCACATAGTGACTACACGCGGTGCCGATTTCATTACAAAATTATTTTGAGTGTGTATGTATGATTCTAACTCGTGGCATTTTGCCCGAATTATAATATTTAGCATGTATGCAACTCTATTCTTATCATTATTATTTACAAACAACACACCCTTAGAAAATTGGTAATAAATCATTACTGAGCGGAGTACATATGTGACTGTACCGGGATCGTATTAATTATCATTACTGCAGAGTAATGGAATGGTAATGAAAAGTTTACTGGTGAGTAACGAATCAATTCGAAGGCAGTAACCAATCATTACCAAATCATTACTGCTGCGGAGTACATATATGACTCTGCCGGATTTTTTGATTTTTTTAAGAGTGTATGTTTATCGTTTTATGTAACTACCCAAAGTTTTACCCTTGTTTAGAGTTCTTAGTAAATGTTTATATTGACGCAGGGTTCCGATGGTGTGTGTGTGTGAATATGTATGTACATATGTACGGTATGAAAAGCAGTCGGTAAAAATTCCATACATAGGTTTTAATTATACTATTTTCAGATTAACACGTGGCGCATCAGTTTTTTTCCAAACCCTGATGCGTAATTAAGCTGACCAAGTAATTCATGCAAAGGGAGAGATAAATATTTTATTTGGAAAATATGGGGTTGTTTACTCTCCTGTCATAGAACTAATTTTTTGGTTCGAGCAGTGTTGCAAGTGGATTAAACCACTTTTTACCGGACAGTGGGAAAAAGTGGGAAAAAGACACTTTTTCCCGCCCACCAAAATCAGTGCGAAATGGAAAAAAGTGAAAAAAATGTAGTTCTTATGCAGATTACAATAGATGGCGCCTCTGCATACCGTTAGGTGGCGCTCCATTTTCCCCACTTCCCAGTGGAAAAAACTAGGTGGTAAAATACATTTTTTCCCCTTGTACTGGGAAAAATTGTTTTGGACGGGAAATATGCAACACTGGGTTCGAGTCGTAAATGTGTCACCATCATGGTAATATTCCTTACTTGGCGGTTGCGCTTATTACTATCGTGGTTTATGTAGATATGATAGCAAAGTATCTCCATGGAGAGATAGATTTTCACAGTGTGGTAATACTTTGTTACCAAAATGTGTATCTTGTTAAATGTTTCACTTACGCCCGTAATCTTGCACCACGTCGAGACATGAGTTGACCAGGAGAGCGAAATCTTCTCCGTAGAATGCATACTGGATTCGAAGTACGTAGTGAATACTGATCGCAAATAAGATTGCTAGACTAAAATTGGAATTGGCAACGTTATCAGTATAATACTTAAGGTGGATGGTACGGACTATAAGATACGCCAAAATATCGGTCTTAAATCGTAACCAGAACCAGCAATACAAATCAGATCGGGCCGAAATGAATAAGCGACACTTTTCCTTATCCCAGCAAAACGGAGTGGCGCCAGAATATTGGCAAATTTTGACGATGTAGTGCAGTAACTGGAGAGATTTGTCGTTCAACATTTTTTTTATTTCATGGCTTCTGGATCAAGATGTAGAAATTTATTTATATGTCGGAGTTAGGATTTCGAACAACGTTGACTAGTCTCCAATTTGTATTCTGCAATTATTTTGCATTTTTATTACAGACAATTTTCAGCGAATTTACTCAAACGATTTTGGCCTTGGATGACAAGTAAATATGTAATAATTTACTGCGATTTTCGAATTTACCAATAATTTGGTATATTTCCAATTCATAATTGTTTCTGAAATATTTTTGTTGCACAACTTTTTCCATATCTGTTTAATTCTATGATTTTTGTTTACCTTAAATCGTGTTGCAGAAAAGTGGTGCATAATTAGTTAATATGTTCGCTATGATTTATTTAATGAAATGTAATTACACAAATTTGACTGTACTATTTCTCTTCTACCGATAATGCGTGCTTTGGCAAAGCTGGCCACCCATGCAAATAAGTATTTAATGTATATGAACTCCATCGTAATTGCCTGCAAACATTGACAATACGCTAAGTACGCTCCGACTTGGCAAACGAATATAGCCAATTCGACAAAGTATGTAATTTATTGCATTCTTTTGCGATAGAACCACTTATGTACATAGATGCGAGAAAAAAATTACGACTCAAATTTGTGATTGTGGAGTGTTTGCAAATTACTTTGCAATTTGAGGTTATTTGCGAAGTGAAGATTGCAAAAATGCATCGCCACGGTGAAACGCTCCAGATTTGCACTCCACAGTTTGCAATAATTGAAAAGTACGGATTGCAAAGTGGAAACTCCGGACTGGTGATACGATCCCCTGAACTTGCAAACGATCGGAATTACAAATTCTCGTGCGATTTTAAATCACACACCTTGTCCACCTCTCTCTGAAGAGAGTAACTTCAGAAAACATAAATGCAGTTATGGATGAGATTTGTTGATGCCAGTTTGTGCATGGCATCAATTATTCACCAAAAGCTACAATAATCTCACCTCATCTCTCGCCCGACGTGGTCATTAATGATAACCATGAAGGGTCTCCTGGTCACCGTCCTTTTCAACGCCCTCGCCAAACCGATGCATTTCCACACTTCTTTATTATCAGAAGCATAACTCACCCACCACTCCATACCATTGTAACCCCGCACGGCTAAAACTAAGTATTCTGAAAATGTCAATATTTTCAGAATTGGTAAAATTTTGAGGATGTTGGAATATGGAAATTAGAGCTTTATACGAAGTGCAAACTTACAGTCTGTCCCATCGAATCTGAAATTCAATTTTTCATTAGTTGGGAAGATCTTCATACATTGCACGTAAAAATTTGCAGGCACAATTAAATATGTACCATAAAAAATAATTAAAACAAGAACAATCCATACCTGTTTATGTTCATGACGAATAGTGAGATGGTTTGGTTGGTTTATTTTTTAGTGTGTATTATTTTTATATGTATGTGATGATTAGTTTTGTGGGAAATCAGTAGATTCGGACACAAGGTTAATGTAAAAACAATCTAAAAATACTTATTTATTTACACTATTGTAGAGTTGATATACACTCATTATTTAATGTGTAGTATGTATTTAAATGTTAGGGGTAACTTGACCAAATATTTGATTTATTTTTGTCTCAGTCTATTACTTGAGGCAATTTGAGACTTTGTAATGCAAGCTGGTGCAAAACAGCTTGCATGTAATAATTATAGACACAGTTGTGGTGGCGGTTGGAGTCGAGGCTGCCCTTATATCCTCGGTCGGACGCAGGGAATCCGCCTTTTCATAATTTGCATCATGTTATTTTCTCATAAGTAAAACTCATTGTGTTCTGAACAATGGGTTTTCTATAAATAAATACAGATCTACATACATTACGTTAAATACACACAACTTACCTACACACATTACATTACATTACACATTACATATTACGTACAAGAAGTGCATGGAAAACAAGGAGTTTTACATTCACTTGCCTGGAATTTTACTATTCCAGGTACATAATTTACATGCATGCATTTGCATACGAGCGAGAGGCGAGCAGGTGACTTGTGATGTCCAGTCTATCATTCGTTCTATACACATGCATAACTTGCATTCATTCATTTCACTTTTAATGGAGATTATTGGATGCAAGTTACTGTTAGTTGACATACATTTAGCATGCATACAGACATACAGATATGCATCATTACTGCTATATTTAACATGGAAAGTCCAACTTAAATTATTTAAGCTATTTAGGTAGCATTGCAATATGAATGCACATACATGTTTCTAAACGATACCCAATTTGGGATCCTTAGCAATATAATAATGATAAAAAAATGATACAATGTCTCGAGGAGTATGAAGGAAACTTAATTTTGTAGAATCAGGTTATTTTATAAGATAACATAAAACATGCACACATTTGACCAAAATGATATGCACGGCTGCATTTCACCCACTACAATCTCCAGTAAACTTGGACATTGGACCAGTTTTGGGCAAGATTTCCAGACAAGTATTAAAGAAGAAGAATAATCTATCCGTCGGGAAAATACGTCGACTTATACATACCAATGATATTAGTTTGTACCGGTATGTGTATATCAGCATTATATTATGCAACTATTTATGTGAGCAAGCAAATGCACTGCAAATAATCTCACAATAAAACATTACATTGTGGGACAATTATATATAAAAGATATAACTCTACCGTTATGGCAATGATAAGTTATACAGTCTGATAGTAACCCAGCAACACATTATTACCAACCAGTAAAATATTAATGTCACATTGAAAAAAATATTGGTTACCGTTTGGTGTCAATATTAATACAATGCGATGGAAAATATAACTCCGCGGAGGAGGAGTAATATATACACATTGCCCGGTTTTGAATTAATAAAGGATTTTTTGAAGGGCAAATTTATTACCGAGAAACCATGACCTATATGACTTTACCAGATTATTAAGAGTGCATGACATTGATAAGTGTGCCTATACAGTTATGTAGTTTGTTATTGTTAAAAAGTGATTTTTACTAAGATTTAGGATAATTACTTGTTTTATTTGGTCGGTGGGTAAAACATGTAAAAGTCATCACAAGGTTACGAAAGTACTTGATGAAATTGAATTTAATTAATGAAATTAATTTCATAATGAAAATATCTACTAATTATGTAATAAATAATGTCTGCACTCTAAGAAACTGGGTGATAGGCGTTATCATATTCATCACCATATGACTCTACCGCCTCTGGTGATAGGCATCGTCACCTTTTTGGTGACGTTATATCACCACTAGGTGATAGACTACCACCGTTTGGTAATAGTCTATCACCTAGTGGTGATATAACGTCACCAAAAAGGTGACGATGCCTATCACCAGATGCGGTAGAGTCATATGGTGATGAATATGATAACGCCTATCACCCAGTTTCTTAGAGTGTGAGCCAACATCCTGCCCAGTGTTTTGGGTACTTTTGACAAGATGAATCCCCACGAACCAATTTATATTCATACAAATTCTCTTAAAATTAAAATAAACTTTTATTACACACTCAGAATAATTCGGTGATACTATGTCGTCCCACCGCGGTGGTTACTATTTTGTCACTAAAGAGTGACAATAAATTCTCCGAAAATCAAATTTGCTACCATGATGGCAAGGTAACAATGTTTTATAGGATAGTGATAAATTTAAATTTCGCAAAATAATTTGTTACTCTCTGTTCACAAAATCTTAACCACCGCGGTAGAGCCACATAGTGACTACACGCGGTGCCGATTTCATTACAAAATTATTTTGAGTGTGTATGTATGATTCTAACTCGTGGCATTTTGCCCGAATTATAATATTTAGCATGTATGCAACTCTATTCTTATCATTATTATTTACAAACAACACACCCTTAGAAAATTGGTAATAAATCATTACTGAGCGGAGTACATATGTGACTGTACCGGGATCGTATTAATTATCATTACTGCAGAGTAATGGAATGGTAATGAAAAGTTTACTGGTGAGTAACGAATCAATTCGAAGGCAGTAACCAATCATTACCAAATCATTACTGCTGCGGAGTACATATATGACTCTGCCGGATTTTTTGATTTTTTTAAGAGTGTATGTTTATCGTTTTATGTAACTACCCAAAGTTTTACCCTTGTTTAGAGTTCTTAGTAAATGTTTATATTGACGCAGGGTTCCGATGGTGTGTGTGTGTGAATATGTATGTACATATGTACGGTATGAAAAGCAGTCGGTAAAAATTCCATACATAGGTTTTAATTATACTATTTTCAGATTAACACGTGGCGCATCAGTTTTTTTCCAAACCCTGATGCGTAATTAAGCTGACCAAGTAATTCATGCAAAGGGAGAGATAAATATTTTATTTGGAAAATATGGGGTTGTTTACTCTGCTTACAACAAGTCTTTTTTAATCTACACCTACATAAATCCAGTGTTCAGTGTAGAACGATATGAAAATTTAGCCAGAAATCAAATCAGTAATTCCTACGGGTGTAATTATGTAATCATGTATACGCATCTTAGCAGTCGCTGTTAAGTAAAACTATGAGGGTTTAGACACCCTGTCGAGTCATATATGTAAGACAGGTGAATTAATCCTGGCCAGGATAAACTAAGCCTTTTACATGGATGTATTCCATTCCTAAAGCGTAATTACACTAGAAGTACCAATTTCTACAGCAACTTAAATGTTGAAATGTGCCGACCCTATCTAAAACGGTGAAGTTTAGTAATTGTCCTAAATTTACCAAACATTTTCACTATTCCACAAAAACTTATAAACACTCTTCCAAATTTATTGGATGGAACACATCTCTGAAACTTTGTTATAAATAATAATATCTTCGTATTTAAATTTGTAAGGAATTAATCTGGCAAAATAAAATAAACATAAAATAAACATAAAAATAAAAATATACTTGCTGTGTAAATGGGAGACCAAGCTTTTCCATGAAATAGTTTTCTAAGACTTTTGTTGATTCGTTAGATTGGTGAGGCATTCCAAAGTTGTGAGTATCTATATAAGCCCTATATTGTATACAATCTACTTTACACTTTTGTAAACTCCTCGACTTTATAAAATTACATTTTTTGTTCAAAACTATTTTGCACGTACAAATTAAAGCACTAATTTTGTTCTACATGATCGATACATGTAAGTGTGCACATTTGTATCGTCCACCCAGTACAGTTGGAAACAAGGTGTTAAAAAAATTAGATAATTATCTTCTCCGTGATTTGTGGTTCTAATATTTACGAATATTATTAGAAACATGAATTTGGACTTGGACTTGATTCTTGGCCTGTTGATATGGACAATAATTAGCCCTGTAGCCTTTCCCTTAATTTTGATCGGTCTCCTGCATAAATTCAGCAGCTTGTTGATGGCGAAACTTTTATACAGAAGATCCGGATATGTAGTTAGCTCGTTCAATTGTTTGGATGCATTAGAATACACTAGAAAAGATCGAGGCATTATCGGGTACGCGCTACGTTTCGAAAACTCGGTAAAAGGAAGACGACTAGATATCGCTAAATTTCGACACCATTTCGCCGAAACATTTATTAATAATGGAAAGTGCAAAAATTACCCCGTTTTTTACACAAAATTCGTACCAGTTCTAGGATATATGTATAAAGTTGCGAATCTTAAAGAAAACCTGGATCTGTGCAAATCTATTAAGGAAGACAGAATTTTGGAAGGTGAAACAGAAAATGAGGCCCTTTCTCGAGCGATGAGACAGAATACACATTTTCACACTCGGTCAACCCAATGGGAGATTATTCTTTTGCGAGTAGATGTAAAGAGTGATTTTATTATTTTTAAATTTCACCACGCACTCGCAGATGCATATTCGGTTAGAAGTCTGCTGGATGTTTTAGGAGGGACGGAGGCACCTTATCTGGTGAAGGATTTCAACATGGGGTTTTTCCAAAGTGTAAGTACTTAAACTATATTTTGTACAATAGGGTGATGCATGCGTTATGGGTTATGTTTGCTAAGGAAATAGTACGGGTTTTAATTATATGTAAAACCACTACCCACCCGGTTTTACACGCTAACTATGTGTTATTGGATTGTACTACATATGTAGGCGTCACAGGGTTTTGCTCAACGGTGGACGGGCAGAGGGAAAATAGTCGAACGAAAAAGTTGAAATAATGTATAAACTGCCGAGTTAAACCAGAGGAAGTGTTCCACAAAAGCATTTTCCATATTTCGCAAGACAAAGTGTTAAACTTGGGTTCTGGTGGGTATCCACCACCATCGCGCGGATTCGTGCGTCAGTGCCGTATCCGTCGCACTTTGTCAACCTCACTCAATCATGCGTCTCATTTAATTAACTATACTGGGTTACTTAAATGTAGGCTTATCAAAATACAAAAAATGATGTGTTGATATATCACTAGCCCTCGTTAGTTACGGCACTTGCCGTATAAGTCCCTCCCTCAGAAACTTTGACCCCAAATTTCTCATGGTACCAGCGTTTCCCTTCGGGCAACAAAAGCTGAAAATGTAGCTGTTCCCAAGGAGAAAAATCTGGCATCGGGTTGTCCGAAGTAAATGGCTGGTACCATTCGGTTTTTAAGGATTTCTGTGTATGTAAAAAAACCGCCAATTTTCGAATTTTGAAACTCTTGATGCATTAAAATGTTCATATTCCAAGGGGAAGTCAAATTGCAAATGCAAGTATAGGTCTAACTCTTGTTCTACACGATGTACATTGACTTTCTCATTTTTCCGAACTTTCTTCCTTTATTTTTATAGGGGGTGTGGTTGCACAGAATTCAAAAAATGTTGTGGTACATTTGTCCTTGTACCCACAATTGCATTTACAATTAATTTTATTTGATTCAGTGAAATCGATGCGAAAAGCGATGGAACGTATCCGTCATCCTCTCTCTGCCGAAAACAGTATATTCCTGAACATTTCTTTGAAATTTAAAATAAACCGTGTAAAATCCGAGTAAAATTTAGTAACGCCAAAAAAACGTAAAACCAGTTCTAATATAATTCCCCGTCTTGTAAAACGAATTCTCAAGTCAGTGTTGTAGCAAATATACACACATATTATTTCTAGCCTTGAATGCAAATCATTTTTTCTCAATTTTTGACCTATTACTTCCAATTCCGTTCTGTCCTTAGCAATACTAAAAGTATGAACTTGTACCGAATAGATGCAAACCCTTAATGTGCAGTACAAATTCTGCTATAAAAATATTAACATTTTGGCCTCAATAAATTTGTGTCTAGGTAAAAGCATGCATTAAGGGCGTAACTGAGTTTGCAAGAATCTTAAATGTTGGACTTGTCGACTGGTTTCCAACGGGTTTAAATGCTCGCTGTGGCACAACAACTTTATTCTCCAAGACAACCGTTGAAACTTGGAAATTGAAGGAAATATGCAAAAACACTAATTCTAGCTTCCTCTCTGTGATAACGTCACTTCACTTGTGGTCCATGAGAAACAACTCTGCATGGCTTGAAAAGCTCGATATCCCTGAAAATATATCCCCACATGCCATCATTACGTTTCCACAAGCGTTACCTGGACATCCCGTAATAAGAAGTAAAGGACGAGATTGTTGCAATCATATGTAAGCCACATAAAAATAAATCGTGCATTATATATGTGCCTCCTAAATATGTGCATTCCTGGAAATCTGCTAAAGTGGCGCAGGCTTTGATTTTGCGGTATTAAATTTGCTATAATGTTGAGTTTTTTTATTACCACTTGACTGACACACACTTGCATACAACACTAATAATTGGACAACAGGTTAAATTATCCTGTATAAAAAAGGCTTTAAGATAGTGATCCAAATTTTTGCATAGTGACACTCAACAAGATTATGGTAGGTTCCATAATGTAGTTTGAAAAAATAATTGACAGGACAAAGGTAAGATTTTGTTCAAAAAACCTTATTTGTCAACCACCATAACAATTTTTTTTCCTTGTGGTTTTATTTTGGTATCAATAGCACAAGTCATTCTGAGCACTGACATTTCGTCGATCTATGTTCGATTTTTTTGAGCAGAGTTAAGATTGTTTACAAAATATGTATAATTTTGCAACTTTTTTTATTTTCGCCAATAATTATTCAAAAAGGCATTTTTTCTAAAAATAAAAGCGTTACTCATACAAAATCGCATAGAGATGGACAAAATATCAAAGTATTTAGGACTTGTGCTATTGATGCAAAACTAACACCGCCAAGGAAAAAATTGTTACGGTAGTTGAAAAGTCAGGTTATTTTGAAAAAAATCTGCACTCTTAATAATCTGGTAAGGTCACGCAGGTAATGATTTCTTGGTAATAAATTTAGTAATAATCTTTCACCAGGGGATAAAAATTCGTTACTGGCATGGTAAAACTTTATTACCAAGCTATTACCACAAGGTATAACATGTCATTATCATCCTGGTTCAGTCTTATACTTTTGAAATTCGGTAATGTTTCTTACGAAATTATTTACTGTGTGACCTTTTACCTGTCGATTCTTTTTCAAACTACATTCGGCATCTGGCCACAATCTTTATTGACTCTCTGCATGCAACAATTTGGATCGGTATCTTAAAACAATTTTGATATAGGTAAATTTAAAATTCGGTCCAATAATTGGAACGCCAAGCGTACATACTTTACTGGTAAGGTAAACCTTTATTTCTATGCGGTTTTACTTGCTATTTCCATTTGGTAGTGCCATATATCGATTGATAATATTTCATTACCGGATTACTAATAGTGGATTGTGGATAATCAGATAACTGGTATTCTACATATGTATGTACTTAGGTGTCTTGGTCTCATCAAACTCCCAATTGAAGAGGATCCTAATCCCATCCAGATTTTGGGAAGGGTTCAATTTCTCTACGAAAATTACCTCGACTCTGAAGCCCCACAAGCTATCCACCTTATGCTGAAGACTATAGGCATGCTTATCCCATTCTATTGGGGAGAGTGGTTATCGAAGTTGTTTGCAAAACAGCCACTTTTTGAAACAATGGTCAACCCTTTCCCATTCTGGGAAACAAAGTATCAGCTTCTTGGCATGAACTTGGAAAATATTTACTTTCTTTGCTCCTCACCCTCTCCAATTTACTCGAATGGTAAGAATAACATGATTATTCGCTACTTGACTTTACTGCGTATGTAGCTACACTCAAAATAATTTTGTAATGAAATCGTCACCGCGTGTAGTCACTAGGTGGCTCTCTTGATTAAGATTTTGTGATTAAGATTTTGTCAACAAGGAGTAACCAATAATTCTGCGAAATTTAAATTTATCACTATCCGGTAAACAATTGTTACCTGCATGGTAAATAATTTGATTGTCGCAGAATTTATTGTTACACTTTGGCCGCAAAGTCGAAACCACAGAGGAAAAGTTGAATAGTATCACCGAATAATTTTTCGCGTTGTTACTTTCTGTCAGCCATGTTTTTTCTGCGTGCATGTATTAAGAACAAGCCAGTGGGGATGTTTTGCCACTCGTTTACTTGGAATTGAATTTTAATTTTGGCGTCACTCTCTACATGTCAAGCGAATCTACATTTCTTTAGAAAGTTTTGTTTTGCTACAAATCGTTTTGAGAACCATGAAATCCTTATGTAAACTCAAGTACACTAACGCGAACAATTGTTCGCATCAGTATATTTACCAGCGCCAATTCTCATAAACGTGTGTTGAAATTACTCAACACACGTAACACTAATTTCTTTCCAATGACTGTAGATTTTAATGTTTTCCTAGGTACGCTTATAACACCGCTGACAAGAGGAGACAAGACAGATGTGACGGTTCATGCAAGCGGAGAGGTTTTTTGCAGTCAAGATGAAATAGACGAGCACGTTGCGGGAAATTTGGTGACCGGATTAGAAATATTCTTGATGGAAAGTAGAAAATATAAGGCAAGAAATACGTCCATCTCCTATGGTTGATACCGTTAAACCAATAATTATGAATTCATCAGAACTAAATCATGTATGTACTAGCTTGGGATTACAATTGTTGCAAACTTACGAACCTAATTAAAAATTCGCAAGTTAACCAAGCTTTGAAAAAATTTTGGACCTTACCACATAGCTGTCCATTTTATCTCACCACAATCCACAAAACCACAAACCACAAACTCATCCACGAACCACAATCCACAAAACCACAAACCACAAACTCATCCACGAACCACAAACCACAAGCTCATCCTGAACCACAATCCACAAAACCACAAACCACAAACTCATCCACGAACCACAATCCACAAAACCACAAACCACAAACTCATCCTGAACCACAATCCACAAAACCACAAACCACAAGTTCATCCGCAAACCACAAACCACAAACTCATCCAGAACCACAGTATGAAAAGTGGCAGCTCGAGTGGTAATTTTTTACTCAAGAGTATTCGATTACAATTTTTGCATTAATTACCATTACCATCATTGTAATTAAATTCTAATTACTCATTACGTTTCCAATACTAAAAGTAATTAGATTTAATTACTCATTACTCGTAAACATGTAATTAAATTACTCATTACTCCTTACTTGAAAATGTGTAATTCACAGGTAATTGATTATACTTGAAGTAATTGATTGCACAACACTGTATTTGGTACAGTGTAAATTCCTATTGGTCGGCCAGCCAACGTTAAATTTATGAAAATGGACGCTAACTAATTTTATATCAACATGAGTTTTTTTAGCTTAAACATGTACCGACAACTTCATGAATTTGTGGTTTTCGCAAGCCTCAAAACTGCAAACCGCAGACCAATCCACAAATGCAGACCACAGACAAATTCATAAAATTCTAAACTACAAAAACCACAGGTTGGTTCACACCTACAATCCTAAAACCACAAACCACAAGTTCTTCCACAAACCACAAGTTCTTCCACAAACCACAAACCACAAACTCTTCCACGAACCACAATCCACAAAACCACAAACCACAAGTTCATCCACAAACCACAATCCACATAACCACAAACCACAAGCTCATCCACAAACCACAATCCACAAAACCACAAACCACAAACCACAAAACTACAAACCACAAAAAAACCTTGTCCACTTTCCACACCACAGTCCACTTTGTGGATCCACAGTGTGGTTTGGACAGCTATGCCTTGCCATCTAAATTCATCATGATACAGGGTGGTGATTCCACCTGTGAACAGTTTTGCCCCATAACTTCTCGAGATTGGGGTGAGATAGATGCTCAAATTTTTATCACAACTTGCAAAAGAACTTCTCCCAGGTGTAAAAATTTCTAAACCGTAGCTCTATTAATGCACCGCGAATAAATCAAGAGTTGGAGGTAAAGATAAAATCAGTGTTGCATATTTCCCGTCCAAAACTACTTTTTCCCAGGACAGTGGAAAAAAGTGGTATTTACCACCCACTTTTAACCCACTGGGAAGTGCGAAAATGGAGCGCCACCTAACGGTATGCAGGGGCGCCATCTAGTGTAATCCCGATAAGAACTACTTTTTTCCCACTTTTTCCCACTTTTTCCCATTTCCCACTGATTTTGGTGGGTGGGAAAAAGTGTCTTTTTCCCACTTTTTCCCACTGTCCGGTAAAAAGTGGTTTATTGCACTTGCAACACTGGATAAAATACCTCTCCAGCGGAGGTAAGTAACTGAAAAATAGCTTACCAGGTTACTATTGGTAGAGTACACAAAAGTGACTCATGGTTAAAGATTGAGAACAAGTGCAAAAGTTGTAGGGCGTGATCCACCCAGAAAAAAGCAGCCCTGTCAAAAACTTTTTCTTGCAATGATCGAGAGGGTTCGCAAATTGAATTGTAGTGAAAACCCACCGAGTCAAAGACTAATGGCTATTCGATTCAAAGTTAGTCCTATGACTGTGAGTAATATTATGAAATAAAACTTATAGATGAAAACAACGCCACATCCAAACTCTCGAAGGAACATATTCACAGGTTCATAACTTTTGATTGTTGATAACAGTTGGACTTGTCTCGCTGGCTGTCACCTTTTTTGTTAACGAGATGTCTCGATCCTGTCATTTCACAGGGTCTCGTCTCGATCGAGACAAGACTATATTTGAGGATACGATCAAGACATCAAGTTAAGAACACTGGCGATGACATCGGAAGGACAAATCACTTAAAAAAATGATGTATAGGGAAGAACCCATTTCAAAACTGTTCACGTTGGTTATCATTACTAACAATACAGCAACAATTTATTTATTTTTACACCATTGTTGACAATTAAGCAGCTAACATGCCAAATTAATATGAGAATGCTGATATGTATATACGTATTTATATGAAGAGGATCTCGTTCAAAAAATTATAATATTCCGAGATTTTGAAATCTAATCTTTTTTCCATTTTCAAGGCGTTTACAGGATTTTTATTATTCCGTTAGTAACATTGTTATGGTGGCATCCATCAATTCTTGAATAGCATCAGCTTTATTTGTGTGTTTTGCCAAAAAGAAAGTATAATTACCAATCCCCAATGGAATACCCCAAGGCTTAAGGGCTTTTATCGTTCTTTTATATTCCTTTTTGCTGTTTGACGATTCAAATCTGGACACAAGTTTATTACTTTTCAAGAACTGCAATGCAACCATATTATAATAGTGGACATCCGCCAAAGATTCAAATACTTGATTAAGAAAGATCAAAAATGTTAGTATGATGAATATGCTACTAGGCAAGGTATACATAGTCATATCATTGTGCTGTCGTATAACGAAGTACGCTAGACCTACCAACATCCCACCACCAGCACAAAATCCCGGCAAAAATGCAGCATTGAATGCCGGCTGTAAAATCAATATTATAATATTCGCAATTCTGTACAACGAAATGAGTTTGTAAATATTCACGGCATCACAGTACTTTGAAATCAGCAGTATCGTAGCGTTTCGGAAGCGAATTAAAATATTGATGTAGTTCGTCAGAATGACGAGCATGATTAAAGAGGCGCGAATACATTCGTATAACCACAGGAGTAGAAGACTATACCGCAGGAACCAAATCCCTAAACGCACAATTATTTCTGATCCACCCGTCAAACCCAATAATGTGGTCATAATATACCCGCGTGACTCAAAAGCTTTGTAACGCGCTAGAAAATATGAGGCCGGATCTGCATCGAGTATCATTAACATGGCCAGAAAAAATGGTGTCTGGGAGTATTCCACCCAAGCCTCAAACCAAATAACGATAGCCATTGCTTTAACGTTATTCTGCGGCAATTCCTCCTCCTTGACACGAACTCGTTGGCAATCTAAGTTTATTACGACGTTGTTGACAAAATATGGTTACAATGTCATGAATGATTTAACTATGTACCTTCAGAGAGCTGTGTGTCAAGTAATCCTAATTCACGGAGCGCTACCAAGACTGCTTTATCCGAATCATACACAACCAATCAGTGCATTGCTGCCAAGATGAGGGAACCAAAACTCATGCCACTCCACAGCCAAAATCGTATGCTTTTGAACACTGATATCCAGGACGTGGAAATTTGTATAAACATAAGACTACCTATCCCACAAGTAATACTAATCGCAAAGAGACACAGCAATGGGATGAATTTGTGGAGCATGACGTATTTCCGATGTTCTAGGATTGCGTAGAACATGCCTTTTTCAAAACTTAATTTGTATGGGAATGTGTACCCGAATGGGAATTTATCCACGTACAGATTTTGTACAAGTTGAGCAACGCCTAGAACCCCATTGGGTTCCCATGGCAGAGGCAACGGCATATTGAATTTACAACTGTGTACCAATTGATTTTGTTTTGAAGTGAAAAAATCGACTCAAATTAGACGTGAAATCTAAAATATTAGAAATCTAAATGTTGTAAATGGTTTTTATTTTATTTTATACGTTCGTATTGGGATTATCTTATAGTATTGGCAGGAGAATAGTGAGTATCGGTATTGCTTACTATTTACACTAGTGATTGAGAGCAATTTTGCTTTCGAATATTGAAGGATCTTTACCGGCCGTTATATATGAGACTTTTTAATCAGTCTGGGAAAAACACGATTAATTAATTTGTCTGTATTTGATTCAAGTTTATATGAAGGGAATTTAGGATTATTCTTGATTCGTACCGTCCTTGAGCATGCAATTAATTCTGTTTACTGGTTCGTGAATTCTTCGCTGATCCGAGTTGAGATTAAGAAAAAATTGGTTTACCAAATTTTTGCTGGAATTTGTTTCAAGCTAAAATCCGATTAAATTAAATTTCGATCAAAAATCCAGGGTACCGATATAGCTACGCAATTTAGCATAATTACAAATCCGAAGTATATTTTGGAGACAATACAAATTTAGATTGTACATAAGTCTATCGATTAGCTAGTGGGCCACTCGAAATAATAAAAAAATAAACCGCTTACAACCGGACTTAAGCATGGGGTGAAACAAGACGCAATATCACGCAATCGTGGTATGGCGTTGTCTACAAACATAAAGTCTTGAAGATCATGGCTTCGTAGTAGGTCAAAACTATGTCGATTTTCGTTATCCCTGTCAAAAAGTCTACACCTGTTGTAGACTTACTTGACTTTGATTCGATTCGATTGTAGTACAACCGTCGAAATAAAAATTTCGAAATTTTTCGACTTTGCCGACAGCGGCACGGTCTTGGCGTCTTCGTAGGTCAAAACCCCATACGGCCTTGTAAAGCCCTTCGAAGTTAGAACGTGTTTGATACCCCAGACGATGGGATTCATTAAAAAATATCAGGATCTTTGACATGGCGCGGTGACCTTTTGACATACGAGGCCAATAACGGACATGACCTATGCCGTGACCCGTTATGTAGATTGCTGAAAACTGAATTCAAAAAAATTGAAACGTTCGAAAGTTAGAGCAGAGACGGACAGACAGACGATACACGGAGAGGGTCAATGAACAAAGGGGTTGAACCATTTAATAAATATCTTATGTTGGAAGTAGGCGGTTAATATTTTTGTGAAATTAACGATGAACTACCAGTCCAACAATTTCTTTACTACTTTCATTAGCTGAAATATGTTGCCTACAGTGGACTTTTCTTATT